ACCAGCGAGGAAACTGTATTTTCACCACAAACTCCACATGGGAACATGGCAGAAGTGGATTCGGTATTTTCAGAAAAGAAAACTAATTACAGTAATCCTTATTCTGGGAGTCTGGACACTTTTCGATCATCCATGACAGGTATAACTCTTCAGTCTCACTGCACTCAAACATGCTTAACATAACAAATGGGTAAGGAGGGATACTGCCTGTTGCTGGGAAACTGTCTTATTATTCTGTACAATGTTTGTGGCATGTGCATTTCATAACTTTCTGCTTTATACAGTAGCTTACTGAGTAAAGTGTTTAATGTTTATGGATGTCAGCAGCACCAAGGAATGAGAAGGAATTGCCAACGTAGTTTCTGAACTTTGGACATAGCATGACATTCTGCTCCACTGAAGAATGATTAATCATTTACTTTATGGATGTAAATGTGCATTTGAAGTTAAAGATTGCTTTTCACACAATCAAATGCCTACATGCTATGTCTTGTTTTCCAATATAATTTGTGCTGGTGGATTCACGACAGGCCAAGATCACAGATCACTTATCAGTTCAGAATCTGTATCCATAATGGAATTAAGACTACATTTCAACAGACATATAGTATGTTAAGATGTATTTGTTTCAGAAATGCGCTTAGAAAATCATGATGATTTTTAAACACGGTAATTCATTGAAAACGTATGGGGAAACGAATGACTCGTGTAAGTAGGTGAATGAATAGTAAACATAATCTCTTGTTTTTCTTTGTTTATCTCTCCAGATAAAAGTTCACAGTTGTCCTCATCACGACCCACTTTCAGACTTCCCTCTGTGTCAATTATGACACCCCAGCCATGGGGCAGCCCGAAACCCATGTCCCCAACTGTTTCCAGGACAACCCCCATCAAGCCCTTGAGCGCACTTGCTGACCTGTCATCGCCTTCTTCCCAGAAAGGTCTGACTGAGACACTGCTAAAGGACTTTGAGGACAGACGGGTCAAACTGAAGCTGGAAGAAAGTGCAGTGAGTGAAGTTTCTTTCAGGAAGTCACAAGCCTCTCAAGTAAACAGCCCTTAAAAAAGATAGTTTACCCAAAAAATGGGTCTTCATGCCATTCCAAATCGCAAATCCATGGAAGAAAGAAAGTCATACACGTTTGAAATGACATGCATAAGTAAAGAATATAATTTTTAGGTTGACTAATGTCACAATGCAAAGCAAGAGCTGTATAGACAGATTTTTTTCACTTTATAACTTTTTCTTTCCTCAGTATGCTAGGATCCAACCTATTGATGCCATAAACAATGAGGTGAGCTGAGGTTTTCGATGTCTAGTGCCCTCTGCTGGATTTTGGAACAGATCCAGTTTGATCATGTTTGTGTAACTCTGGTTTCACTGTAGGTTGTAGTGGCCACCCGTGTAATAAGGCATAAAAACCAACGAGCCCTGCAGTGGGAGGCAGGAATGTACACCAACCAGGAGAGCTAATGAATCAGCACCGACATAACAGGATACGCCAGAAATCATCTTCAGATGAGAAGGACTGGTTTTAATTCCACATTACACTTACCAAGCACACTTCTCGTGTCACCTCACCATATAAAATCAATTAACATGAAACATGGACATTGCTTCCATCTCACTCAGTTTAGCTGGCTGGTCTGAATCGACTGGCGTGGTGGAAATAGGTGTAGGTGTGGAGAACATCTTACCTGCTTGCATGGGGTGATTTGTAAGCTCTAGCAAACTGGATCATGAAAACTTTCTTAATCTATTTCTCCGCCCAGTACTAACATTTAACTACCATTCTTAATACTTGTAAAATATACACATTTATACAAATCTGTCATCTGAAAATACAACATCAGACTGTGTTCCAGATTATTAATGTCACTAACCTTCAAATCCTCAGCACTTAACTGGATAGACCAGCTTGCTTTTTATACAAGGAATAAAACCAAAAAAGCAAAGTAGAATCACAGAGAATCACATGTTCCTACATAGAGAGGAGGGACCATGAGATCTGGACCTGGACATGAACCCATTAATACACAAGCCTGTTGATCTAACAAAGTGGTCTTTATTTCGAAATAATGCTGAATCTTGCTTTCCACTGAAAAAATATAAAATATCAATAGAGATTCTTTTTGTATTGAATATTGAAGATTCATAAAGTTGCACTGAAGATTTTTGCTGTATTGTAAATGCAATATGATATATATATATATATTTTTTATGTACAATCTACATTACAGATTAGACGTTGTAAATTAGTTTTGTTTCAATAATAGTTTGGTATGTCAAAATTAACTTAATATCAGAATATACATACAGATGTATTCTGTGTTGTTAACACATAATAATAATAATAATAATAATAATAATAATATATGCAATATATATATAATAAAAGGCTTGATTTTTAGTAGACATGTTTAATGTAAGTATTAAATTTTTTCAATAGAAGATTTTAAGGTTTAGCCCTGAACAGTGATTCCTTGCCACTGGTAATGCAGAAAGAAATTCAAACATAATGTAAAAGGGTAAAAAAGAGTACTAGTCCAATACCTTTAACGTAAACCTTCATAAGCAGCAAAAACTACGTGCAATATCAGTCTTGTCGTGTTTTCTAACTTCTTGTATGTTAAAGTTCCAGCAATATTCTAATCTCACTAATTAAGAGAACTTGCTGAACAATCTTCCTTCACGTGGTTTCTCTTTAATGAAAGCCCATGTGCAATATTTCAGATAAATTAATTTATTAAGCTAAACACTTGGCGTGTTCTTTTGTTTTTTTGAATGTATGGCCACGGCACAGAAGCGCCCTCTAGAGGATAAACTCCATTAATACATGCTTTTCTAAATGCATGCAATGCCGTTTGCTTAATTGTTTGTTCATTTCATGCCAGTGTCATTAAAAATGTCTACATAACAACAGTGCAGATTAAATAAAGCCACGGATGCTTGACAAGACTCAAAATCCTCCTCTGAACCCATTTCTATTAGTACCACACTTTGTTTTATGCTCTCAGAGGTGACATTAAGGGAATCTCATGGTAGATGCTTTTACAAGCAGGAACAAGTTACCTTTTAAAATCACTTTCACTTCAATCACATAGCTTCCATTCTGCATTAAACTGCAAATCAGTGCCAAGCGGGGCTTTCCACTCTTTCACTTCAATTAAAATCCGTGGATAAAACATTTTGAGTAAGTGGAGAGCATTTTTTCTTGTATTTATAAACGAATATTCATATTAGCCTGCAGTAGCATTTAAATGCATTACGGTATGCATGTGTTATTGTTTGTATAATAAGTGGGACAACATTTTATTCTCTATTGTAATTTGGATCTGACAATGATCAATCTTTGGACCATGTGATTTGTTTATTTGCATGCAACATCACTTTCAATATGTAGGAGTGACTGGGGCTAGTTGTCACACATTTTACTCTAGTGAATATTTTGCACGGTGAGTTTATTTTTGTACGTTTCTGTATAGACATATACCTTAAACTCTTGGCTACAAAAAGCAATTAGACATTTTCATCGCCCAAGCAAAAAAGTAGTTTATTCAATACACACTGACCCCCCTACAGTGGGGCAAGTTGTCACAGTATAGGAACCTGTTATTTTTTATGTTTTTCGAAAGAAGTCTCTTATACTCACCAAGGCTATATTTATTTGATCAAATTAACACACAGTAATATTGTGAACTATTATTACAGTTTAACATTACTGTTTTTTTATATTAATATATTTTACATGTAATTTATTTCTGTGATGCAAAGCTGAATTTTCAGCATCATTACTCCAGTCTTCAGTGTCGCATGATCCTGCAGAAATCATTCTAATATGCTGATTTGCTGCTCAAGAAACATTTCTTATTATTATCTGTTATTAAAACGTTTCAGAGTAGGTATGATTTTTTTTTTTAAATCAACAAGGACACATTCAAGTGATCAAAAGTGATGGAAAAGATTTCTATTTCAAATAAAGGCTGTTATTTTGAGATTTTTATTCATCAAAGAATCCTGAAAAAAACATTTATCATGGATTTCATAAAAATATTAAGCAGCAAAAACTGTTTTCATCGTTGATAATAATAATAACCATTATAAATAATTGGAAATAAACCGGAGTAATGGCTGATGAAAATTCAGCTTTGCGACACATGAATAAACTTTATTTTAAAATCTATTCAACTAGAAAACAGTTCTTTTGAATTGAAATAATATTTTACAATATTGTAGTTTTTAAAGTATTTTTGATCAAAGAAATGTAGCCTTGGTGAGCATAAGAGACTTCTTTCAAAACATTTTAAAAATCTTAATTATTCCAAATACACACATTCAGTATCAATACTGCTTTTTTTTGTATTAAAGGTAAAAAATTACAGCTTCAAGCTCCCAGTCTGCCAATCAAATGGGGGCCATTCTGACTTTAGTGGAGCCGGTGGTTGTCATCAATAAACTGGGGACATCCTTCTTTGACATGGCCCTCACACAGACCGTGTACAACCAGTCACTGAAGGCAACAGCAGGAGACAGCGATCGGGCACAGACGTTATCCTCACACTTTCTTCTTATTCAGAGTGTGTTGTCCTCTGTGGCGGCCATGTTGTCCATTATACCACTGAGCCGCATGGCAGACCGTCATGGACCTAAAGTCTTCCTGGTGGCCTCTCAAATGGGTTCGGTTTTGGGCATGTTTACGCTTGTCATCTTCATGTACTGTGAAGTTCCACTGGAGTTTCTGTACTTGGGTTCTTTGCTGCATGGTTTGAGCGGAGGCGGGCCGATGTTCTGGGCCGGGGTGGCGGCTTTGGCATCTCTGAGCTCGGAGCAGGGCAAACGCACTCTTAAACTCAACATCGTGGACTTCTGTTTTGGGGTCGCAGGGGTCGTGGGAGGTCTCCTGTCTGGATATCTGTACCAGATGGGACCATCAATTCTCCTCCTGACAGCAATTCTAGTCAGCGTTGTGGCATTACTGTACTCTGTGTTTGCCCTCACTGACTCGAGACGTTCCCTATCCGAGAGTGAGCCATTGCTGGCTGAATCCGAAAATGGGAAAACAATGGATCGAGTCTCTGTAGGCATGCTGATGTCAACCATGGTGTTGTTCATGCTAGGCATGGTTGGGGCAGAAAATGTGCTCCAGCTGTATGTGCTGAAGCCCCCCCTGAGCTGGGACTCAATTTGGGCCGGATATGGCAGAGCCGCCACCAGCACCATGTACCTGAGTAGTTTCATAGGGGTCCTGGGTCTATTCAAAGTGTTGGGAGACACAGCCCTCACTCTACTGGGTATTGTGTCCAACTGTACTGGGATGGCAATCATGGCATTCACTGTAGAAAGCTGGGTCTACTTCCTGGGTGAGTTTGATTTAAGGTAATTAAAGGTGATTTATCGTGGAATGATGCACATAAAGTAATAGCCATAGAGCAGTGGTTCTCAACAAAACAAAACATAGAGCATAACAAAACCAGCCAAATTGGTACTCAAAAATAGCCCAATCATATTCTACCAAAATAGCTCCAAAATCGCATTCCAAAACCTCCTTGCATGGATTTTGTTTCAAGCCACGGACTAAAAAAAAAACCCGCTGCAACAGTATTAAAGTAGCCCAATTCAGTGGGAAAACCGCGGACTTGGCAACACCGATTATTATTGCACTTTCACAAGAGCACAAATCAACTCGCATGATTTGTTCACAGATTTAGTTGCTGCAAACAGCGTAAACGACCGTATGAAAGAAAATAGACTAGCTGTATTACACTTTTATTTGAGCAAAATATCTCAGAGATCGCTGAACTCCAACTTGAATGTTTGCCGGGTGTTTTCACCTCATCAATGTAAAAACAGTGTGTGCGCAGGGTTGCCAGGTTTTAAAAAACGTTTTCACTATTAAATTGATTCCATAGTTGAGTTTCCATAATTGATTTAGCTTTTTTTCCTGTTTATCACTGTGAGGCTGCTTTGACACAATCTGTATTGTATAAAGCACTAATAGAAGTAAAGATGACTTGACTTGAAAGGGAGCCAGGGCTCATTGGGGGGCCTCAAGATGACATAAAAATAATTTAAAACAAGAAAAAACAAGCATTAAAATAAGCTAAACTGCTAAAAAAAAAAAAAAAGATATTTCTTATTTTATTTCACCCCCTCAACAAATGTTTGTTTTTTTTCTTTGAAAAACAAAAACTGTGTTCCCTCTATTTTTACAAATTCTGGATATGAGGTAACCAATTTTTAAAAATGTGATTTCTAGACCTGGAAATGTCGTGTAAATTAATAAAATCTCCATGTGCATTTTTATACTGAACATTTTAGTTATGACATGCCCTCAGGCCATACAATGTGTAGATGAGTAGTTTATTCCTTCATGGGAACAGATTTGGAGAAATTTAGCATTATATCACTTCCTCTGCAGTGAATGGGTGCCATCAGAATGAGAGTCCAAACAGTTGATAAAAACATCACAATAATACACAAGTATCCACGACTCCGGTCCATCAATTAACATCTTGTGAAGCTAGAAGTTGCGTGTTTGCAATCAACAAATTCATAATTAAGGCAACTTTAAACAGTTACTTCTGGGTAAAATAGAGTTCTCTATCTCTAATATTGCTTTCTCCAGTGAAAGGTTGAGATGTGTTGTTTTAAACAGCTAGAGGGATCATGATGTTTGCCTGCGTTCCCATGCCAACACTGCGAGCCATGCTGTCCAAGAATCTGCATCCTCAGCAATATGGTAAAGTTACAACTCCATAGAAACAAAAACTTCAAATGTGCTTCATCTAAGTATAAGCTTTAGTTGAGGTCATACTGCACATGAAAGTCCTCTGCTGTGTTTCTTGGCAGGGCGAGTCTTTGGGCTGCTCCAGCTGGTTCTAGCTGTGACTGATCTCTTGTCCAATGTCTTTTTCACCTCCATTTACCCACTAACTCTCGGCTGGTTCAGTGGCTTCTGCTTCCTTCTCTCCTGTGCTATTAGTTACATCAGTGCTATCCCGATCATGTATGTAAATCTGTCGATAAAAGACAACAGCAAAAGTTCTTTTGGTGGTTTCTTCTCAGATCATGCAGAGTTGTTCATTTTGTTTTCCAGTTATCGAAGTGGCAGAGACTTGAGACTTGGATCCATTTGAGATGTTGAACACTTACATGAAAATGTGTCTGTTCTTATTTTGATTCAGTACTACGAAGCCCCTAATGTGATGACAAAAATAGGATAAACAATTATATTTCAACGCTTTTGTGTTTGCTTTGCTCGCAAAACTTTTGCATTGCCTGAGAATATTTGCATTTGCTCACAAAATCTTTCAGTTCTCTCGCTAAAGTACCGCATTCCCAGAGAAATTCTGTGTTTGCGCACAAAACTTTTGCATTCACTCAACAACGTTTTGCATTACCCAAGAAACTTTGCATTTGCTCACAAGACCTTTCCGTACTCTCACAAAAATATTGCATGCTCACAGAAAATTTCAATGCTTTTGCATTTGCTTGCAAAACTTTTTTTCTCCCACCTTATGTTATTTCCATAACTAGTTTTGCATTTGCGCACAAAAATTTTGCAAGCGAATAGAAAACTTTTGCAACTGAATCAGGAACTTTAGCAAACGAACGCAAAGATTTTGCAAGCAAAAGCAGTTTCTCAGGGTAATGTAAAAGCATGGACATTTTTTTTTTCTCCCATGACTAATGTCCTTGTAAGGGCTCTGTACATTTCTCTCAGATATAATCACATAACATCATATCTAATGTCTGATTTCCACTAATGTATAAAATAAAATTTGATTGCAATAAGTGCAATATATAATATAATGTCAAAGAATTGGATAACTAAAATAAGTATGATACAAAAGTCTGTCCAGCTTTCTTGCAGGACACATAGTTTGGTAAGATAAGTATTGTTTATGGTGAAAATAGTTTTAGGTCTTACTATGAAATACTATTAGGACTGACACATGAAGTGTCTATCATGTAAACTGTTTTTTATGTTGGAGAGCAGCATTGCATATGGTTTTCTATTGTTACAGTAAATATGTGTTCCTTTTATGTGTTATTCTCAATAAACCTCCTTTAAAAAAAGATTGGTTATTTGTTCAATCATTCTATTCTCAAGTGGGCTAGTTTTTGTAGCTGCATGTGCAAAGGGTTCTGCATTTCACTTTTTAAAGCTTTTCTTCAGTTTGGTTCAGAGTAGAGATTTCGTTTTTTTCCTGAGGATTCATTAGTATTTATAAATATCTTCCACAGATCCAGACAGCAACAGATCAGAACAACATAACAGAATATTTCGAAAAACACATGCGTGTTGTGTTTTACCATCAGGATGTTTTATGTGTAATGTCCAACAGCTGCCACATGGTGTCATCTAATCGTCAGTGCACGACCTACTATGGCAAGCGTATTAGTGTAAAAACAAAATTGGTTTAAATAATATTTTAGATAATTACAATTGTATTTCAGTGTGTCGCAAACATAATTTAACTAGTCAGAACGATAATTTAATACATATGCAATTCTAATTTAATCATCCAATCCAATCAATTCCTAATGGACAAAAAACAAAGTCCTGTCAAATACATATTTTTTTTCTTTTGAGAAGCCGTTTCACTCAGATATTTCACAACGGGGGGGGAAAAGAACATCACAATTTCCATTTCATGATGACTTTAAATGAGATTTGATTATAAAGAATTCCAATTCTTGTCTACTAGTCAAATATTAGAAATATCTCAAATTATATGTTTCACTAGTGAGAATTCAATTAGAGACACAAAGTACAAATTATAGTTGACTTTAGTTACAATTTCTAGTCGTCAAAACTATATCCGAAAATATTATTTATAGCTTAAATATATTATGACTAGTCAAGGAGTCAAAATTGCAGAACAGACCTCTCGAATTTTGACTAGTCAAAACTAAATCAAGGCTATTAAAGCCAGAGGCATTAAATGACGGCTTGCCATATGCCTACTGCCTACGTATTTCCGCTAAATTCTCGGTGTCTACACGAGCTTCCGGTACAGTATTCACCGATAGGAAACTGTGTTAGTAGTTAACTCTTTCTGACATATTTCGATTAACTATTGATCACAATCAAATTTATATATTATTACATTATACCTAACTACAGTGATATACCATTTAGTAGCTACATTATATTAACATATAACGTTTTAGTAATGAGTTCAAAAACCTTTAAATATCTTCGTCTTGAAGGTGCATCGTCTTGGTATTGCTGTGTCCCGTCCTGTAAAATGTCCTCAAGATTTAATTCTGTGATTAGTTTCCACAGTTTCCCTTTGAACAAAGAAACACGCAAAACGTGGCTTCAGAATATCCAGCGTGAGGATTGTAAGGTCAGTCCTAATACAAGAGTCTGCAGTCGACACTTCAGGACTGATGATTTTATTGAGCAATCGACTCCCACGTCGCGCCGACTGCTGAAGAAGAGCGCCGTGCCCACGCTGTTCACGAGGAAGAACTCGAACACTTCAGCACCAAAGCGCACCGGGTTATGGAGGAGGAGACGCGTCCCGTCTCCTTTAAAACAAGATCCTGTGCCCACGGGCTTCCAGCATCAGGAGCATGATTATTGTTCGTCTCTCATCCAGCATCATCTAGAAGTGGATGAGACCGAAGTTCTCCGAAAGGAGGTCGAGCGCCTGAAGAGGCAGGTTGCAGAGTTGTTTGTCCTTCAGAGGTTTTGTTTGGGGCGATTTGCTGCATCTGACGATGACATACGGTTTTACACTAGGTAAGATTTGAAACCTAAACAACGTTTTCATACATGTTTCCATAACTTTTTCATACTTTTCATAAAACATGTTAATTTAAGTAGCACTCAAGTGATTGTATTGAATGTGCACTAGTAGTGTACTTCAAATCTTAAATGTGTTGCTATTTAAAAAAAACCTGTACTTGCAGATAATATTAAGAAAATAAAATGCCACAAGTGTACTAAGAGCACATTTTCATTACTGTTTCTTAACACAGTTAGGACGTTCACTTCATGTCGCCTTTTTTACGCTTTAAAGGTCTCACGCTTGAGGTATTCGGCCAATCACAACGCACTGGATAGCTGGCCAATCAGAGCACACCTCGCTTTTTCAGACCGATGAGCTTTGTAAAAATCGACGCGTTTCAGAAAGGCGGGGCATAGAGGAGAAACAATAATGTACAGTATGTGGAAAATAATGTGTTTTTTGAACCTTAAACCGCATAAACATATTTCATTACTCCAAATGCACAAACTAATGTTCTTTTTAGCAGCATCATATGACCCCTTTGTTATATTAATCTTTTTTGTTATGGTTTAAGGAAGTAGGTCTACGCTTATTTTGATTTGTTGACTAACTTTGATTCTTATGAAAAGTTTTTTTTAATGAAGACCAAATTTCGTTTTAAATCTTTTTTATAGACGAATTTTAAAAACCTTTTGTAATAATAATAATAATTTTGTTATTATTATTATGTTTAAATATGGTTTGTTTATTTACATGTTCTATTTTTCACTCCAGTCTTTCCCTGAATATAGCTGTGGTAACTGGCATGGTGCTAAATTATATTATAAAATATGTATAATAATAATCAATGAATCAAATACATGACATACAAGTTTAAATAGAAATGAGTATTTAGTTTACCATAAATGCTTGTCAGTACATCTTAACCATATTTTAACAATAATTTGTTTTCATAATTTATGAAATTACATACAAATGTGTACTTAAGCACTCTTAAGTTCATCTTATTGCATTTAATATAAATTAAACTACTTTTAATTTAATCATAAATAACATGCAATTAAGTGTCCGGAAATCATTACATTCTGTTTGCACGTAAGTATATTCTTTTAAAGTTTATTATTTCTTTAACAACTTACTAAGCATATTATTTAAGTTGAAGTGTGATAAATTTTACTTTTTTAAACAAGGGTTTACAAGACTTATATTTTAGTACACTGTAAATAAAAAATAAGCTACAACTTGGTAGTTGATCATCACATTTGTTGTTGTGTATATTATCTCAAACGTCCCACATTTCTTATAGGTTTGCAACTTACAACCACTTGATGGCGTTCTGGAGACTCATTGAGCCCGCGTCCCACAACATGTTTCGTTTGACCAGAGTCAGGACAGCTACAATGAGCGAAGCTGGAGCATCAGGCAGTACATCTGTAAATAATTCATTTATAGGTCATCTAAAATTAATTTATGATGTTGTTACATACAGATTTTTTTTGTGGGGGGAAGAGAGACAGAAAAGTTTATTCTACCAATATTACTTTCTCTACATAAACACATTATATGTATTAAAAAAAACTTTCACAATTTTGTTAACAGTGTCAGTCCATGCAGCCCATAGATGAGTTTTTCCTCTTCATGGTCCATCTCTCAGTTGGTCTAACAGAGAGAGATCTAGCCCACAGATTCAATATCCATCAGTCCGCCGTGAGTCCAATCATTACAAGCTGGGCCAATTTTCTCTATGCCATTCTTGGATCTGTGCGCATCTGGATGTCTGAAGAGGCAGTCAAGGCTCACATGCCAAAGGAGTTTCAGGACTATCCAGACACACATGTTGTGATAGACTGCATAGAGCTGCGTTGCAAAACACCAACCTCTCTTCTGCTTCAAGGTGAAGGGTCCCATTGCACCTACAAGGGTTTAAATGGCATGGCACCGCATGGTACAGTCACTTTTGTGTCATTCGTGTATGCAGTCAGTGACAAGGAGCTTCTGAAGCAGTCTGGGATTGTGTCACTCCTGGGAAGAGAGACAGAAAAGTTTATTCTACCAATATTACTTTCTCTACATAAACACATTATATGTATTAAAAAAAACTTTCACAATTTTGTTAACAGTGTCAGTCCATGCAGCCCATAGATGAGTTTTTCCTCTTCATGGTCCATCTCTCAGTTGGTCTAACAGAGAGAGATCTAGCCCACAGATTCAATATCCATCAGTCCGCCGTGAGTCCAATCATTACAAGCTGGGCCAATTTTCTCTATGCCATTCTTGGATCTGTGCGCATCTGGATGTCTGAAGAGGCAGTCAAGGCTCACATGCCAAAGGAGTTTCAGGACTATCCAGACACACATGTTGTGATAGACTGCATAGAGCTGCGTTGCAAAACACCAACCTCTCTTCTGCTTCAAGGTGAAGGGTCCCATTGCACCTACAAGGGTTTAAATGGCATGGCACCGCATGGTACAGTCACTTTTGTGTCATTCGTGTATGCAGTCAGTGACAAGGAGCTTCTGAAGCAGTCTGGGATTGTGTCACTCCTGAAACCTGAAATGGCCATTATGGTCAACAAAGGGTTTTTTATAGACAACTGTGTACCGTGCAAAGTTTACCGACCTTCCTGTCTGCTAAAGAAGGAACAGATGCCGGCTGAGGAAGTGAGGGAAACTCAGTCCATTGCTCGGCTCAGGGTACACATGGAGCGTCTTGTCGGCAGGGTGAAGCAACACAAGCTGTTGGATAGGGTCATTCCTCTTCGCGACACCAGGACCATCAACCAGCTATACACTGTTGCTTGCCTCCTTATAAACTATCAGAATGGCCCCTTGTTAAAAACATGGGCAAATGATTAAAGACCAGACAAAACACTTGCAGTTGGAGGATAGATTAAAGGACTGTAATGTAAATGTATAGATACAAATAAACATGCAAATATAAATAACTTTGATACTATGTTTCTGCAAGCATGTAAATATAAATAACTTTCATAGTGATTCTGTAAACATATAAAATATTTTATAAACCTTTTCTTGTATGCCACTGTTATGTAAACGTAAATATAAATAACTTTGATACTGTTTCTGCAAGCATGCAACTATAAATAACTTTCATAGTGTTTTTGTAAACATAAAATATTTTATAAAGCTTTTCTTGTGTGCCACCGTTATGCAAATGTAAATATAAATAACTTTGATACTGTGTTTCTATACCTAGTTATTTATGTTTACAGTGGTGTACAGGAAAAGTTTTATAAAGTTGTTTATATTTTTACAGAAACACTGGATCAAATAGATAAATCTACCTATGTAACTTTTATACAATGTTTCTGTAAACATGTAAATATAAATAACTTTGATAGTGTTTATGTAAAACAAATGAAAACTTTATAGTGTGTTTTCTTTTCTTACACCACTGTAATGGAAACATGCAAATGTAAATAATGTACGGAAACAGTATCAAAGTTATTTATGCAGTTATTTTCCTGTATGCCACTGTAATGTTAACATACACATAACTTTGATACAATTTTTCTGTATCAAATATCTGTATTTTATGTAAATAATAATTTAAAAAGAACTGTGCAGTGTTAAACTACTTTTTTTAACATTACAAGAAATAGTCAGCCAAAGAAAAAAATTAAATCAAACCAGTCTAATCCTGATAAATGACTGACACATGTTCCCTACTGTACTTTCATAATCAATTATTTCCAATTCATTATTTTTACAAAACATAATATATTGAAAACAATACATTGATTGTATTCTTTAACTCTGGAAGCTTCTCAGTTAAGGCCTAACTGATTGCTCGGCCTCAACTCTGCCCTATTATTTACCTGGCCAAGTCATGTGATGCCTTCAGTTGGCTACCTTGGAGACAATGAGTCTCAGTTTCTGTTGTGGCCCCCCATCTATTATTTAGATTTAAGCAGGTGCGGCACAGGGGAAAAGTAATTTCCTGAGTGTGACGAACAGGTAATTATTGATGATGATGATACCTGATTCCAAAGATCTCCATGTCCCATAGTCCTTCTGGACAAGACATTTAAAACATTGACATAGAAACAGTTTCCATTGAAACTGTCATTTTAGTTAATGTCACATATGCTATATCAACTTGATTTCTATAAAAGAAACCTTTTTTCATAGTATGTATTTTCTTGGATACAAGATGGTTTCACAAAACCAAAACCGTTTTGTCTATGAACAGAGTGAAATGACTCTCCTCAGCCTGGTGGTCACAAGAGACTCCGTCTCACTCCAGAGACATCAAGGAGATCATGGGGCCTTTGATGCCAGAGGCACTTAAATCTAACTGACAGCAATCCAACTAAATAAGGGTCTGATCACGAGACTGTGTCTACAATGTGTAACAACAAAAAGGGCCAAAGGTTATTTAGTCTGAAATGCACTAGATGAAGTTCGTCCTTCATCATTGGTCTACTTTGGCCAGTATCAGTGATGCTGAAACCTTCATGCATTTCATTACATAAGCACTATTATTTTTGTATGTTGTGGAAACAGCAATCAAGTCCCTAGTCAGACATAATGGATCTCTGCTACCACTGCAACCTGAAATATTCATGGAGCTGGTTATATTAGCTTTCAGTTTGTTGTTGTTGTTGTGTCTAACTCCTTAGGAGGACTCCTTTAAGAGACTATGAACTATGAAAAAGTGTATTATATTAGTCATAGTAATATATCATAAATATATTAGATATACATTTATTTCATTGAGTAAAGTTACTGTTTCACTGACAAAATAACACGTTAATGCTTTGATTGAGAAAAAAAACGGTTTCCTAAGTGACTGGTCCATTCTTCAAAGATGCAGAACAATACTAGGACGCGCGACTGGCGGTTTTTCCCTCCTCAACTGTAACCGCCCTTTGCTTTCAACTCGTCTTATCCAATCACAATCTCCCTAGTGTCTCAGAATGCCACTGTTGTCCAGGCTTGACCAATCACCGAGCTCATCGCTGAGGCTCCGCTCAACGCACTCCGCCATTTTGTAGCGCTTTAAGAAAACTCGGCCAAGCAACAAAGTTGCGGATCAGAGCTGCTGTTCCTCGGTGTGCAATGGACGGGTGAGTGATGCTACGTTACTATGAATGGAAAATAAATTTAGCTGGCCGGGCGATAAGCCATGAACGAATAAAACCCTATCTTTATCAACTGTAATGCATTTTATTTTGTTTGATTGGACAGCGCGAACGCTCTCATCACCACTTGCGGTGAAGCAAACCCGTAGTTTTCCCGTGAATCGGGTTTCTGTCTGATGCTCGCAGCTTTGTTAAATACATTTTGTTTTTTTCCACAAGTTTGCCTGTTTTATTAGTACGACGTAATTCAGAGTTCGAGTTTTGCAGCCTAAATAAGGCAGTTTTTCTGCAAAACTAGGCAGATTTCCATCGAGAGGACTTGTTGCATCGTATATGCAGTGATAAAAGTTTAAGTAGAAAGAGTAAAGAACAACATTCTTTAAAACTCACAAATATAGGGAAACAACCCCCAAAAGTTATGTTATTCTTCCTGACCAGAAAACTATTAGTAAAGTGAGTATAAGTACATTGAATAGTTAGGTTGTGTGATGGCATTGACATCTTTTTCCCTGCACAGCCGCCTAGAGACTGAATTGTATCCTATGGGATCAAGTTATGCAGAATTAGAGTAAGTCCATCTGAAATTTTACAGCTCAGAGCTGGTGTTTTTATTTTCTTTATTACCCGCTCACAGATTACATTTTATTTAGCTGTTTTATTAGTCAAATATTAACATACTAAGATGCTTCGCTTACAAAAATCGTCACGGTTGCCATAGTTTCCACCAAAACACAGTAGTTACTTTAGCCATTTTAATTTCCTGAATATGATTCACATTGGTGTTCCTTGACTTTTTTAATCATTAGAAGCACACGTCCTTTTTTAAGTTGTTCAATTAAGGTTTGTTGCTAGAGCATTGCAAAAATATGGGCTTTAAGGTATTTAGACTTGGTAATTTTGGGTTATAAAAATGGCAAACCAAATATAAATAAAAATACATGGAAAATAAAACAGCTTATAGGGAATTTAACTTCCTGAGTTTGACACACAACATTTTGTCAAATGCATATCCTAAACTAAACGAATATTTACATTTGAGAAGTTTTAGTCCCTATTTGCTGAATAGCAACCATTACTGTCCGACTACTGTCTACACTTTGCTAATGAAAGGATTCATGAGATATGTCTGTGATACATTACTCAACGCTGCAAAAACACGTAGAAACGTTTGAAGCTCCCCTCAGCGATCACAATCACAAGTATGATGACGATCGGTAAATGGTTGAACCATGACCAAATGAACCAGAGAGAAGCACTGGACATGCACCATGTAAGATGATACACAGAAACTAAAACCACACCCCAGGTATTGTGAAAAATGACCCCAGTCCATAGGGCCCCCTAGTTTCAGCTCTCACACCTATTTGCATGAAGGTTTTTTCCCTCTTGGGGAAGATGTATCAGGACTTTGTTTTGGTACACTCGGTTTCTTTTTCTTTCCATTGTTTCAAACATAAAAGCTTTCATGCTGCGGCGCATTGATATGAGGGCTTTTTCGAAGACCCGAGCCAGAGGAGAGATTCTGGTATTGCGTTTACTGAGCGTTCATGTGAAACAGGATGTGGGGGTTAATCTTCAACCATAGACTGACCCAAAATACCACTCATATTTCTTGTTCTAAGAGAGATCTGTGGGAAGGAACTAGATTACGCAGTCTAGCTGCAATCTGCTTATTCCTTTAATGGGAAAAACATCTAACCAACACGAGCCAAATTAAATATTGAACTCATTAGCCCCACTTTAATATGAATTACGGTTAATATTTAGGTTGAGGATATTAATTTCAAGAAATGGGCTGGATTCTTAAATTATATAATAGACATCTTTGCATGTAATGTTTTTCTTTACCTTTTGTTTCATTGGGACTATTTTAGACAAGTGTATGAGGTCAGAATGGTTTTTCTTTTCCAATTTCATGCATTTGGTTTATGGTTTCCTGCTCTGATTTTTCCATTTCTGTTTTCTTTTGCAGCGTCGTTCACGATATTGCAGTTGGTACAAAGGTAAGAATCTTATTTTAAGTCCTACGGTCACTACAACTACATGTGCTGTACAGCTTGGGTTGGTTGAATAAGAGCAGATTGTTTCGCTTATCTTTCTTTAACTGTTTGTGTGCCGGGACTCTCTGTATTGAGAATTTGCATGGCTTTTTGGCACTTTTCCACTGCGTGGTACGACTCGGCTCGGTTTGCGTTTCCACTGCAGGTTAGTATCGCTTTAGAGAGGGCGGGATTATTCACATGTTGTTATAGTTGCGCCGCCTCTACTGCCGTGACTCCTGAAAAACGTCACGTTTTGGTAATGGTACGGTTCGCTTGGAATAAAACAATGGTATAAACATCATTCAATGTAAATTGTGATAATCGTAATTAATAATCGCAATTACAATTTCAAGGGAATAATCGACAATTATGATTTTTGTCATAATCGTGCAGCCCTACTTGAAACCTCAACCTAGGTGGTACTGAAAAAAATACCAGGTACCAGGTACTTTACCCAGTGGAAACCCCCCAAAAGTGAACCGTACCGAACCGTACTGTGCCGTACCATGCAGTGGAAAAGCGCCATTTGTGACTTCCACACCTCGTGCTATTGCTCCTTCCAGACATGATTCATCCTGGCAATAAGGGGGTGAATCAGATATTTGTTAGAACAAGCACTATGGCATCGTGCCATGCCACATTGTGCTTCCTCAACTTTTTATTAACTCAAAGTTGTCGTTTAATTTCCAAAACAAATTCTGGTTCATAATATTTGGCTGTTGTGAAACACAGGCCCTAGTTAAGAAATCCTTAACTTGCTGCCTGGATCAGCCTTCACGAGGCCACAACATGAACACTCCCACTCATTCCCTCATTAAAGATTATTTCCTGTGGTATGTGTCTAGTGAGGAGGGACCCACAGGATGTAGAACAAAAGCCTGATTCATGAGGTTCATTTAGGTTCGTTACTTACATGCTTTAGGTCATGCAGTAACTTATGCAGCACGAAACCTACAGGCACTGCATTTGTCTAAGGATTACCACAGTACAGAGATGGGCACTGTTTTAAGAGTTGAATGCTAGTTGAAAATTTTGATTCTGAGAGGTTTCTTAGTTTGGGATTTTAAAGATCTGTAAGGGACATTTTTTTGTATTACGTCACAGGTTCAGATCAATTAGGCTACGGGATAAAGATAACATGAAACTCCATTCGGAACTCATTTTACTTTTGTAACATGACATTTGTAAGTGAAATAGGAGATTTTATAAGAAAAGGTGTTGGCTAGGGCTTGATTTCATACACTGGGAATTGATTGGATTGTGAAAGTGAAGTGAAGTGAATTGACGTCACGTGTGGCCAAGTATGGTGTCCCATACTCGGAATTTGTGCTCTGCATTTAACCCATCCAAGTGCACACACACAGTAGTGAACACACACACACACACCGTGAACACACCTGGAGCAAACCAACAACAATTGAGTTGATTGTTGTCTTGATTGAATAAAGGTTTGCTAAAACAAAACCTCCTAACTAGCTATTGGTTAAAATTACTGTGGCCTAAGTGATGTCATCAGCAAAGTAAAGTCATGGTGAAACCAAACATGGTTTATAAAATTCCTATTGATCTTGAGCAACGGGCTATATTATTGGTTAATTTTATTTTTCTATAGCTACACACTGCCTTTGTTATCAACACAAAATGGGTTTTCTTTATTTAAAATGCACTAAAAATTCATGCACGATATGATCAAAGGCATTAATTAAGAAAAGATAGATGTTCTGTTGTAATTTAATGTCTTAAAATTGGTCATCAGATGTTCTGACTGTTAGATGATCTTCAGGCGACAAACATTTTATTGTTTCGGCACACTTTCTACCTCAGCCTAATGATTGAACCCGTTTCAGAGACATTCCTCAGAGATTGGTTTTGGCTGTTGATATGACGAGATGAATGCAGTCTATTCATCAAATGCAAATATGTTTGCCTCATCACTCAGCACACACATGTAGCTCTTGTGTTTGTTCAGCAGTGCTGATCAGAGGGAAGATGGCTGGGGGAGGTGCTAATGGGTCACATGGGGGTTCGCTTGATGCTATCAGTCTCTCTTTCTTGTTCTCTGTATCTCGTGAAGAATGCAGGTCAATAGCTTGTGGGTCGCAGGTGCTGGTTACAGGCAGCAAGCCGACGATTCGCAATAGTCCCAGCTTGTTTTAACTGGAACT